CAGGTCAGTGGAACCAAAATCCTCCCAAAGTTCCCGGCTGCCCCTCGCCCCTCGCCCCTCCCCGCCTGGCTTTTCCAGGCAAAGAGGACCCCGAGGCCAGGCTGGACCCCTGGGGTGAGCCCGAGAGGCCCCGCGGCCGGAGACCCGGGTCCCGTGCCTTTGGGGTCCTTTTCCGGGGGCTGAGGGCACAGGAGGCCAGCGGCACCACCGCGCCTGCTTCTCCCGGACACAGGCACAGCGTGGACGGCTCTAACTGCCCTGGCCGCCGTCCCCACGGGAAACACAGCGCGCGGCACCCGCGTGCCCAGTGGCCGAGCAGCCAATGGCTCCATGCCGAGGGCACGGCGGATGGACCAGGCGTGGGAGCCACAGCCTCCGTCGTGGACGTGACGCTCCGAGCGGGAGGCTGTCCGGTGAGGTCAGCACAGGCCTCCCGCTGAGCCGAGCAGGACACAGGCCACATGTGACCCAAATGGCACCTGCCACGGAGGAGGGCTGGACATGGGACGGCGGGGCCACGGGCTCACCGGGCCACGGGCTCACCGGGCCTCACTGGGTCATGGGCTCACCGGGCCACGGGCTCACCCGGCCACGGGCTCCCCGGGCCACGGGCTCACCCGGCCACGGGCTCCCCGGGCCACGGGCTCCCCGGGCCACGGGCTCCCCGGGCCACGGGCTCACCCGGCCACGGGCTCACCCAGCCACGGGCTCACCGGGCCACAGGCTCACCGGGCCTCACTGGGCCACGGGCTCACCGGGCCACGGGCTCACCGGGCCACAGGCTCACCGGGCCTCACTGGGCCACGGGCTCACCGGGCCACGGGCTCACCGGGCCACGGGCTCACCCGGCCACGGGCTCACCCGGCCACGGGCTCACCCGGCCGGCTCAGGGTGGCCTTGAAAACTCAGAGCCCTCATGGCGCCACAAGAACGATCTGAGGTGAAAACTTCTTTTTAAATTTATTTCTTTATTGATTTTAGAGAGGAAGAGAGAAGGAGAGAGAAATAGAAACATCAATGATGAGAGAGAATCATGGATCGGCTGCCTCCTGCAACCTGGGCCTGTGCCCTTGGCTGGGATCGAACCTGGGGCCTCCACAGGCTGACGCTGTATCCACTGAGCCAAGCCGGCTAGGGCTGAAATGAAAACTTTTTTTTGGGTCACATGAGCGTCAACCTATGAACCAGGAGGTCACAGCTCAATTCCCTATCAGGGCCCAGGCCCAGGCTGCAGGCTCCATCCCCCAGTGCGGGGCATGCAGGAGGCAGCGGCTCCATGATTCTCTCTCATCATCGATGTTTCTCTCTCTCTCTCTCTCTCTCTCTCTCTCTCTCTCTCTCTCTCTCCCTCCCTCCCTCTCCTTTCCTCTCTGAAATCAATGAAAATGTTTTTTGAAGGGATCTCTGCTCAGCCCAGAGGGAAGCATGTGCCTCCCAAGCTTCATTCCCTCCAGCCTGAGACGTGTTCAAGCCAACGGACCCTGCCCCAGCCTCTGGGCTCCCGGCTCTGATCCTCTGTCTGTCTGTTGGAAAACGTTAGGCACCTGACAACCTGGACACCCACTTCTCTTTCGCCCTCCCCCTCACTTCCCCTCTTCCCTCCTCCTCCTTGCTTCCAGCTTTTACAAAGGGATTTGCGCCCCGCCCCAGCGCTGGTGATGATGTTACCGAAAATGGCCCTTGCCCAGCAGTAACGCAGGTTTTCTGAAAGCCCGTCTTCCACCACCAGATGGCAGTGTTGCCCTGGCTTGCTCTCCCACCTGCCATCTGCCAGGACTGGTGCTGACAGACAGAGGGGTTCTCTCAATAGTTAAGGTGGGGAACCCCATCACAATGAGCTACTCTAAAACCAAGAGATTTTTTTTAACCAAGTGTGCTTTCTATTGATTTTTAGAGAAACAGGAAGGGCGAGGGATAGAGAGATAGAAACATCGATGATGAGAGAGAATCATGGATCCGCGGCCTCCTGCACGCCCCCCACTGGGGGATGGAGCCCGCAACCCGGGCTTGTGCCCTGACAGGGAACTGAACCAGTGACCTCCTGGTTCCTGAGCCAACGCTCAACCGCGGAGCCACGCCAGCCGGGCCCAAATGATTCTTTTGGTTCCTGTCCTCCGATCTCATCCTGGAGCTGGAGAGACACAACCTGCCACCAGCTTGTTCCGGCAAGCTTACTTGGCTTTCTTACTTTAAACCGCGCGTTCTGTGGCCAGGTTATTAGGCAATTAAAAAAAACAAACACACACTGATTCCGTTCAGGGGCATGTACCTTGGTTGCGGGCACATCCCCAGTGGGGGGGGTGCAGTAGGCAGCTGGTTGGTATTTCTCTCATTGATGTTTCTAACTCTCTATCTTTCTCCCTTCCTCTCTGTAAAAATATATATATATATATATATATATATTTTAATTTTTAATATATATATATATATTTTTTTAAATTTTTAATATATATATATTTATATATATATACATATATTTTTTTTAAATAGCACAGGTTTTGGGGATGAAGGAACACGGGTGTCAGGGATGGGGGACATGGGTGTCAGGGACGGGGGACATGGATGTCAGAGACGAGGGGACACGGGTGTCAGGGACGGGGGACACGGGTGTTAGTGACATGTTCCTCCACCACCTGTTCCTTCCTTCCCCTCACGTCGGGGCAGCCCTGCCCCCAGGTGAGGGGGGACAGGCTGGGATCCAGACGGCCTTGGTGTGGTCGCTCAGGGACCTGCCCTCACCTCGCCGGGGGCTGAGCTTGCCCTGGGCGGCGCCGGCGTACTGCGTGGCAGTTCAGGTTTCTGCGTTCCGGGCGCCTTCCTCTCCCCCCTCTGGGTGCGGGAAGAGGCCTAGGGTGAGCCACGTGGGCAGGGCCTCGGTCCTCAGGGTGAGGACACAGCAGGCACCCGCCCGGCAACAGGCTGCCCGGAGCTGTTTTTCCAAACCATCCCTGCTCCCCTTGGTTCCCCTCAGAGCGTCTGGCGTCTGGCGGGGCTGAGAGCTGTCAGCTCTGCAATGTCCTTCGCGCTGCGCACGTCACCTGACCCTCTTATTTTATTATAAATATATTTTATTATTTATAAGGTTCCCGAGAGGCGGGGAGACAGAGAGACAGAAACATCAACGCTGAGGGAGAATCATGGACCAGCGGCCTCCTGCACGCCCCACCTGGGCATGGAGCCCGAAACCCAGGCCTGTGCCCTGGCCATGGGTTGTTGCTCAAACACTGGGCCACCCTGGCCGGGCCACATTCTGTTCTTTTAACAGACCCGCTGTGTGGAGGTAGAAGTCACCTGCTGTGAAACCCAGCCTGTGAAGCACAGTCAGTGTTCTCGCTGTTTCACGGCGCTGTGCACACATCGCCCGCCCATTTCTGAGCGTTTCCTTCGCTCCTGAAAGAAGCTCTGTATCTTAGAAGCCGTCCCCACCCCTTCCCAGTCTCCACCACAGGCACCTGCTTCCCCTCTCCCATCTCCGTGGGGTTGCCTCCTCTGGGCATTTCATGTGAATGGAACCATGTAGAGCCTTTTGTGGCTGGCTCTTTTTTTTTTTAAATATATTTTATTGATTTTGTACAGAGAGGAAGGGAGAGAGATAGAGAATTAGAAACATCGATGAGAGAGAGTCATCGATCAGCTGCCTCTTGCACACCCCCCACTGGGGATATGCCCGCAACCAAGGTACATGCCCTTGACCGGAATCGAACCCGGGACCCTTCAGTCCCCAAGCGGACGCTCTATCCATTGAGCCACACCGGTCTCGGCTGGCTGGCTTCTTGAACTTAGCATGTTTTCAAGATTCCTCCAGGTCCATGGTCAGCAAACTGCGGCTCTGGAGCCACAGGTGGCTCTTTGGCCCCTTGAGTGTGGCTCTTCCACGAAATGCCATGGCCTGGGCGAGTCTATGTTAAAGAAGTGGTGTTAGAAGAAGTTTAAGTTTAAAAAATGTGGCTCTCCAAAGACATTTTAGTCGTTGTGCTGTTGGCATTTGGCTCTGCTGACTGATGAGTTTGCCAACCGCTGCTCCAGGTCGTGACATACTCTTGAGTGGTGACTCATCATCCTTTTTACGGCTGTGCCTCTGGTTCACCCCTTCATCGGCTGGTGAACTCGGGGCTGTTTCCTCTCTATTTTATTTTATTTTATTTTATTTATTTTATTTTATTTTATTTTATTTTATTTTATTTTTTACAGAGAGGAAGAGAGAGAGGGATAGAGAGTTAGAAACATCGATGAGAGAGAATCATTGACCAGCTGCCTCTTACACACCCCCTACTGAGGATGTGCTTGCAACCAAGGTACATGCCCTTGACCCGAATCGAACCTGGGACCTTCAGTCCGCAGGCAGACGTCCTATCCACTGAGCCACACTGGTCAGGGCCAGGCAGGTTTTCTCTGCCCCCCCTCCCCCACCCCCGCTGTCCCGGGGCGAGATTGGAGGTGGCAGGGGAAGGAATAGTGTTTCTTGGAGGGAGGGACAGCACCTGTGCTTCCCCCATCCGTTCCCGAAGGCACAGCAGACATTTCAGTCTTTCTCTGTCCTACACTGGCAAGTCAAAGCCTCAGGGATCACTTAAACTGTGAACAGTGACGTCATGACCGCCGCTGACATTAAAGTAAGGCGCTGACGTCATGGCCCCGCTGGCTCCTCACTGGCGGCTCCCACGCAGCTAAGCATCCACCGCGGGCCCGGCCACGGGCCTCAGCCCGGGCTGGTCACACTCCGGCCCCCAACGGCTGGCCCACGTGCTCCCACCGTCACCGCTGGGGCCCCGCCATCGGCCCCGCCGCCGCCCGCCTGCGCCCAGGCCGCCACCCAAAGCAGGACTGGCCTGACCTGTCTCTGCCCTTAACCAACATGGCCGCCGGGGCTTCAGGCCGCAGCGGGCATGTGGGTCACGTGATTGGAAGCACGTTCTCTGATTGGTTGACCCTCCTGGGAGGGCGGGACACGAGAGCCCAGCGGGCCCGGCCTTAAAGGGCCGGCCGCCGAATCGACTCCGCTGGAGCTCCGTCCCCGAGGCCTGGCGGGCGGGGCTGGCGCGGGGGCCGCGTCTCCCGACCCGGTGGACGCCCGGGCGCTGGGCCGAGGCCGGCGGCGGGGCGCCGGAGCCGCGATGGAGGACGGCGGGCCCGCGGCGGGGGCGGCCGGCGGCGAGGGCGGCGGCGACTGGGCTTCCTGGACGGCGAGCTGGCGGCGGGGGCCCTGCGCGGCCCGCCCGGCGCCACCATCGCCTGCCGCCTGGACCCGCGCGTGTTCGCGGACGGCCCGTGCCGGGTGAGGCGGCGGGGGCCGGGGCCGGGGGCCGGCGGGCGGGGAGCGGGGCCCGGGGCCCGGGGCGGCGGCGCTCCCTCCCGGGCGGCCCCGCACCTGCCGGCGGCCGTCCGCCGCGGTCCGCGCCCAGCGGCGCCCTCCGGCGGCGGGGGATGGCCGGGCGGCGCTGGTGGGGGATGGCCCCGGGCGGGGCGGGGCGGGGCGGGGGCCGGTGTGGGCAGCGCGGCGGCGGGAGCGGTGCTGCCGGCGGGGGCGGCAGTTGGGGTGGAGCGGCGGGTGGCGGGCCCCCCCCCCCCCCCCGGCCGGAGGGCACTGACCGCCGGAGGGGGCCTGCCGCCCGGGAGCACCGAGTCCATGGAGCCCGCCCCGATGAGATGGTGAGGGGGCCGGTGTGCGACCAGTGCGGGAGGAATTATTTCAACCTGCAGTTCGCGTCCGAATAAAAGGTGGACAGGGGTGCGGGGTGAAGCCTGTGTTCCAGCGAGATGCCCCCGCGGGGGCAGCTGCGAGACCTAGTGCTCCCCTCCGGCTCCGAGTTGCACACACTGCACACTGTACACACTGCATACTGCGCACGCTGTGCACACTGCACACGATGTGCACACTGCACACACTGCATGCTGCACACGCTGTGCACACTGCACACACTGCATACTGCACACGCTGTGCACACTGCATACTGCACACGCTGTGCACACTGCAAATGCTGCACACAATGCACACGCTGTGCACACTGCAAATGCTGCATACGCTGCATACTGTACACACTGTACATGCAGCACACGCTGCACACACTGCCTACTGTACACACTACACACTGCAAATGCTGTACAGAATGCACACACTGCACACCCTATCCATGTGATCGCACACACTGCTGTACACACTGTACACACTGTTCATTGCACACACATTGTACACGCTGCACACAACACACTGTGCCCACGGCTGTACCTGCTGCACGTGCTGTGCACCACACACACCGAGCACTCTGCACACGCTGCCGCTGGACTGTGCTGGAGGCTGCTGCCTGGGGAGCCACTGGAGCAGGAGTGTGTGCTGGAGCCCGTTTGCTTATAGCTGCCCGGAGGCCTGATGCGGGAAATCTATGCGTTCAGGGAGGGGCCTCAGCCGGCCTGCACCCTCTGGCAGCCGGAGCCCTCGGGGATGTCGCTGTTGGAAACCCTCAGTGCTGCAGCCGCCTGTGCTCTGCAGCTGTGCGCCTGCTCCTGTGAGAGCCACTGACCACCGGGGCAGCTCTGCCTGAGCATCCGCCCCCTGGTGGCCATTGCACGTCACAGTGACTGGTCACTGGTTGTTCGGTGGGTTTGCATATTGGCCTGGGTGCTGAGCGGGAGGGGCGGAGAGCCTGCTTCCAGGCAGACTGGCCCCTCTCTTCACCCTCGCTGGTGGGAGGAGGGAGAGGCGGAGAGCGGTGGCCCTTTTAGGTGGATCCCAGCGTGAGGGCTCCTCGCCATGGCCTGATCATCCAGAGGCCCGCCTGCTGATATCTCTCGGAACCAGGATGTTTGCGTGTGGACTGGGGAACCCACGCTTCCAGGCTGTGGCAGAGGGCGTGAGGGGGGATGTGTCACTCGGACCCTCGTCACAGACGGAAGGAGGAAACGGAGCCAGCGACCAGCTCTCGGCTCCCATCGGAGGCCGCCCTGCTGACGGGTCTGGTCTGTAAGAGCTGCTGCTGCCGGCGGGTCCTCTGAGCTGCGGTCCTTCTACTGAGCGTGCTCATCGCGTGTGCCTGGGAGTCAGCGGGGTGTGTGTGTGTGTGCGTGCGTGCGCAGGCGTGCACCAGGACCAATGGGCGGGGGCTGCTGAGGAGGCGTCTGTGTTGTCGAGTGTTCGCTGAGCTCGCCCACGGTGCCTGGAAACGCCGTTCTCTTCTGTCTGTGCCGAGAGAGCAGCCTGAGAGCGGGCGAGCCGGTGCTGGCACGTGCTGTGGGCTGTGTTCCATGGGCCATGGGCTGTGAACTGTATGCTGTGGGCTATGGATTATGATCCGTGGGCCCGTGGCCTGTGGGCCGTAGTCTGTGAGCCGTGGGCTGTGGACCGTGAGCTGTGGGCGTGGGCCGTTGGTTGTGGGCCATGAGCCGTGGGCTGTGGCCGTGGCCCGTGGTCCCGGCGCCCGAGACGAGGGTTGCCCGCCATCACTGGGCCAGCAGGAGCTTTGCTCCCCGCTGCTGCTCCCCGTGGTCTGGCGTGCGCTCCTGCGGGAACAGGAGTGGTGCCGTGTTCCCTGTATGAAGCACGACCGTGCACTGACCGAGAGCACGTGGCCCGAAGGCCGAGCTGACGTGCTCACTGTGGGCGTGTGCTCTCCGGGGGAACCCCTGACCCCAGGCCGGCCCCGCGGGCTCCGTGCCTCCCTTAAGCAGGAAGGGGTGACGGGCATTGAGGACATCTGGTGCCTCAGACCCTGTGCCTGGGGCCCCAGGACGCACCGGGGCTGTGCCTGGGCCGTGAGACCCTGGACTGGCCAGAGCCTGCGCCATGGAAAGATTACCCGGCGATGGGCCGCTGGGCCACACGGCCAGGCTGCGCCGTCTCCTCCGCCCGCAGAGCAGTGGGGCTCTGGCTGGCCCTCCCCGCCCCCCAGTGGGTTTGGACCCGCAGCCAGAGGCAGGTGGCGGTCAGCCTGAGCCCGCCCTTGGGCGGGGGACACGTGGGGTCCGCCCTGGCCTGTCCCGTTCTCCCCGCCGCCCTGCCCCGTCAGCGCCGGGCTGTCCCGGAAGGATTCCGTGATCGGAGGGAACGGCGATCCGAGGGACAGGCCGGCGCCCGGGGGACGGGTCTCTCCGGGCAGGTGTGCCGGGCTGTCCATTGCGTCCGTCCGGGCAGCGGGTGGCGAGTGACGGGCGCTGGGAGTGACGGGCGGGTCTGGTTCATTGAAACCCGGGTGTTTACACCTTTTCCACTCTCCGTCAGTGTCACAGGCTGGTAGCTTCTCAGACGAAGCCATGCACAAAGTTCCCCTTAAACCAGGAGGGAAAGGTGTTAAACCAGGAGTGTGTGCGGCGGGCTCAGGGGTTGAGCATCGACCTGTGAACCCCGAAGTCAGGGTTCGACTCCTGGTCAGGGCACAGGCCCGGTTGCAGGTTCGATCCCCAGAGGGGGCATGCAGGAGGCAGCCAGTCGACGATTCTTTCTCATCATTGATGCTTCTCTCTCTTTCTCCCTCTCTAAAATCAATTAAAAGCATTTTTAAAAATTATTTAAAAACCAGTACATCTGGTTTAACTTGAGGTGTTCAGAATGTTGTGTGTTTTTAAAAACGGCGCGGCGTGTGCTGTGAAGTGTGATTCGGAGCCTGCCCTGCCCCTGGTTTTAGAGCCTTTAATAAGCCAGTGGCTCCGTGGGTTTACGTCCAGGAGGTCCTTCAGGTCCCCCTCCCACTGCCTCCTGCCCAGCCCCCGTGCTCCCTGCCTCTGCCTCTCAGCACCTTTTCCTCCGCAGCAGCTGTAATGCCATGGCCTGCAGCTCCGGCCCCCAGACCCTGCCCTCGGGCAGGGGGACGGGCCTGTGTGGGACAGAGCCTGTGTCTGCGTTCCAGTCCCGCTCTCCCCCTCCTTCCTTCCCTCCCTTCCGTCTCCTCCTCTCATTCCTTCCCTCCCTCCCCTCATTCACTGAGCGTGTATGGTTGGGGCACCTGCTGTGGGACCCCAGGGAGTCAGTCCCCACCCCCTTTTTAGTTACCTAAGAAGAAAAGATAAAAAGAGTGATAAAATGGCATTAAACACCTGCCTATCAAGGACTGAATCTAAAAACAAAATAAACAGCAGAGCAGGACAGACCTGTGGACACAGCGCATTGTGACGCTGCTGGTGGGGCAGTTAGTGGACAGTGACCGTGCACAGCTCAGCACAGGGAGGAGTCAGCCACCGGATCGCAGGCCGGTACCGGTGTGTGCGTGTGTGTGTGTGTGTGTGTGTGTGTGTGCTGGGGGGGAGGCTCCTGGCAAGAATCCTCTGTCTGCTCTCCCTCCCAGCAACCAGGCAACAAGGATCCTGGCAGCTGCCGTGCGGAGCACCAGCCTGGCTGGCCGCCAGGGGGCGGTGCTCACGTCCTGCAGGGAGCCGGGGGGAGGGGTCAGGCCTCAGAGACCAAGCGCCTTTCCGCAGGGAGAAGCCGGCCTGGGCGCCAGGAGCTGTCACACGGTTTGCGGTTGGAACATGGAAGCAGAGGCGCCCACAGAGCCCGCCCGCCTGCCCGCCCGCCGGGGTGCGGTGTGACCGCAGGGCCCCCGGGAGCCCTGTATTTCCACAAGCGCCCCCCTTTGTGAAGACCTGCCTAGTGTGGGGTGCGTTTGAAAGGTGGGTGATTGGGCGGTAAGAGGCTGGGCCCAGAGCCGCGTCAGCCGACTCACGTCCCAGCCTGCCCTCCCGCCCGAGCGCAGCCGCTGCGCAGCTCCCAGCGCCCCGGTCCCCGGCGCTGTGCCCGGTAGAGAGGACCCCGCAGCCGGCAGTCGCCCTGCCTCTCCTCCGTCACCGACCCGTTAGCGGCCATCAGATGAGGGCTTTGCTGGGCACGCGAGGAGAAGCAGTTTGCCGTAATTTACCAAATTAAATAAGCGGTCTTCATGGTTCATTGTAAAGTCGTGTAATATTTTTATTGGAAGTCTCTGCCTGGTTTTAGTTTAAAATGAATTGACTGGCAGTATGAGGGCAGTTTGGTTTCTTTAAAGTGCATTCATGCTCTGGCACGATTCTTATTGTAAAGAGGTAGGTTTTGGAATGGTCTGTCACCGTCACCGTCAGTTTATAAACTTAATTTATAAACGGAGGTTAGTCAGTTCTGTTTATTTTATCAGAAGCCGGCCTGTGCTCCGCAGATCCAGCATCCCCTCGGGAGCCGCTTCCCGATCGAGGCCTGCTCGGTGGGTTTAGTTAAAGCTCCCACCTGCTGAGCCTGTGATGGGGCAGGGCGTGTAACGTGTCCCCCGCGGTGTCGTGTGCTCTAACAGAAGCCTGTCCCACACCGCCCACGGGCCC